AAATAGGAAAAATGCCAAGGGGGGTGAATCCTTCGCAAGCCCCTGTATAGGCCTATGCATAAGCTCTAATATGCCTATGGGTGTTTTGAATTAATCAACACCTTAGAAAGCCTGTCCATTTTTGTTTTGTCAGGCTTTGAAACAACATCCTCAACAACCACTCAATTTCAACCACCTGTTGAACTTCTTTCTTCAAATTGATCAATCACAGTGAGGTGAGTTTTAAAAGCACAATACTGTTTTGATGATAAGTGTTTGTGATTTTCGATCGCATTTGCATTGATTGTTAGAGGGACAATAGAGCCCTGAGTACCAGGCCATTTGGACCTGATGATCGTGAGTGAGTTGGGTACTACCAACGCATGTCCAGAGTGCATAAGAGGAGATTACCGTGACTCAATGGTCTGGTGTAATTTTACTGCGGTCATGACTCATGTCTGCCGGTGTGGCAGTAATACGGTCACCGCAACAGCCCTATCCGGTTGGAATTTCCACTCCCCACCAAATATGGTGAGGAGAGGAAGCCCAGTGGCCGGCAGTGCGAGAGTAAGATGGAACTGGGCCGTCATTCTGCTGATTTTGTCAAAAAAGCCCGATCTCAATACATTTTTCTGTTAGGATCTGTTACAAACAGAGTGCACTAAGTTTTGTTGACGTGAACCTTTGTCAAAATTATAAAAAATTGCTTTAAGTACAAGACGTGCAAGGGCGAATTGAGTTATTGCACACACACGCACTTCACAGAGAAGTCTTTCCCTAACGGAAATATGCTAAAAAAAAATACTAGAATGTGCCAATAAGGTCTTGCTAGCTCGTGAGTGAAAACCACGCATGAGCTGTTTTAACACTCAGGCCGCGGGTGACTCCGCTTGCTGCTCCCTGAGTGCACTAACTGTCATACTACCCATTGTATGGTTCCTGCTCCCGTCTCTCTCCACCCTGCTAATATACAGCACTTATTTATTTATCTCTCTCTATTTCAGACATGTGCTTTCTCTCAGATAGCCAAGTGACTCCCTTTCATTATTCAATAGTTTTATTTTTGCATGAATCTTTATAATTCCTTTTAGTTCTGTTTATGGCAATATCCACTTAAGGGCTCTAGGAGCTATTTAGACTGTCGTAGCTTCTACAGCGGCTTCTCAGAAAAATCTTAACAGTTCATTTGTGATTAGCTTGGTTTTAAAGGGGCAATCTGCAGTTGCTACAGTCATTTTAGGACATATAAATTAGTAATATATAATACCCTTTGATTTTTGAAGAACTGCAGATTGCCCCTTTAAAGCAACACATTCTTATTGTGATGAGCCAGATAAAAAAACACCCCCTAAAGCAGGGGTCTATGGAAATGTATTTGCTTGCTTGTTGGATGTCTCTCCCTCACAGTCCAAGAAGAAGGGACAGTTAGAAGGAGGCAATCAGATGTAAGGAGACACCTTAGAGGTGCACACACACCTGTCTTCTCCCCACCCATCTGTCCACTAACGCCCACACACACCTGTCTTCTCCCCACCCATCTGTCCACTAACGCCCACACACACCTGTCTACTCCCCACCCATCTGTCCACTAACGCCCACACACACGTGTCCTTCTCCCCACCCATCTGTCCCTACGCCCACACACACCGTCTACTCCCCACCCATCTGTCCACTAACGCCCACACACACCTGTCTTCTCCCCACCCATCTGTCCACTAACGCCCACACACACCTGTCTACTCCCCACCCATCTGTCCACTAACGCCCACACACACCTGTCTTCTCCCCACCCATCTGTCCACTAACGCCCACACACACCTGTCAACTCCCCTCCCCACCCATCTGCCCACTAACGCCCACACACACCTGTCTTCTCCCCACCCATCTGTCCACTAACGCCCACACACACCTGTCTTCTCCCCACCCATCTGCCCACTAATTGCCCACACACACCTGTCTTCTCCCCACCCTCTGCCCACTAACGCCCACCACACACCTGTCTTCTCCCCCACCCATCTGCCCACTAACGCCAACACCACCTGTCTTCTCCCCACCCATCTGCCCACTAACGCCCACACACACATTCACACAGACATACAGTACATGCACGTGTACACATACACACACAAGCATGCACACAAACACAGCTGCCTTCAGTACACGCACGTGTACTGTACACACACACACACACACACACAACAGGACCCTGAACAGCTTCTACCCCCGAGCCATGAGACTACTAAATAGTTAACCAAATAGCTACCTGGACTATCTACATTGACCCTTTTTGCACTAACCCTTTTGGCTCATCACATCAAATTGTATTTGTCACATGCCGGTGTAGACCTTACAGTGAAATGCTTACTTACAAGCCCTTAACCAACAATGCAGTTTTAAGAAAGAATACCAACAAAACATTTTTCTAACAAATACAATAGAAAATAATACGAAATAAAAGTAAGAAATAATTAAAGAGCAGCAGTAAAAAGAACAATAGCGAGGCTATATACAGGGGGTACCGGTACCGAGTCAATGTGCAAATGTTTTAAAAATAATAAACAGATACCTTATTTACATAAGTATTCAGACCCTTTGCTATGAGACTTGAAGTTAAGCTCAGGTGCATCCTGTTTCCATTGATCATCCTTGATGTTTCTACAACTTGATTGGAGTCCACCTGTGGTCAATTCCATTGATTGGACATTTTTTGGAAAGGCACACACCTGTCTATATAAGGTCCCACAGTTGACAGTGCATGTCAGAGAAAAAACCAAGCCATGAGGTCGAAGGAATTGTCCGTAGAGCTCTGAGACAGGATTGTGTCGAGGCACAGATCTGGGGAAGGGTACCAACAAATTTCTGCAGCATTGACAGTCCCCAGGAACACAGTGGCCTCCATCATTCATAAATTGAATAAGTTTGGAACCACCAAGACTCTTCGTAGAGCTGGCCGCCCAGCCAAACTGAGTAATCGGGGTAGAAGGGCCTTGGTCAGGGAGGTGACCAAGAACCTGATGGTCACTCTGACAGAGCTCCAGAGTTCCTCTGTGGAGATGGGAGAACCTTCCAGAAGGACAACCATCTCTGCAGCACTCCACCATTCAGGCCTTTATGGTAGAGTGGCCAGACGGATGCCGATCTTCATTAAAAGGCACTTGACAGCCCGCTTGAAGTTTGCCAAAAGGCACCTAAAGACTCTCAGACCATGAGAAACAAGATTATTTGGTCTGATGAAAGCAAGATTGAACTCTTTGGCCTGAATGCCAAGCGTCACGTCTGGAGGAAACCTGGCACCATCCCTACGGTGAAGCATGGTGGTGGCAGCATCATGCTGTGCGGATATTTTTCAGCGGCAGGGACTAGGAGACTTGTCAGGATCGAGGGAAAGATGAACGGAGCAAAGTACAGAGAGATCCTTGATGAAAACCTGCTCCAGAGCGCTCAGGACCTCAGACTGGGGCGAAGGTTCACCTTCCAACAGGACAACGACCCTAAGCACAAAGCCAAGACAACGCAGGAGTGGCTTCGGGGCAAGTCTCTGAATGTCCTTGAGTGGCCCAGCCAGAGCCCGGACTTGAACCTGATCGAACATCTCTGGAGAGACCCGCAAATAGCTGTGCAGTGACGCTCCCCATCTTGAGAGGATCTGCAGAGAAGAATGGGAGAAACTCCCCAAATACAGGTTTGCCAAGCTTGTAGCGTCATACCCAAGAAGACTCAATGCTGTAATCGCTGCCAAAGGTGCTTCAACAAAGTACTGAGTAAAGGGTCTGAATACTTATGTAAATGTTATATTTCTGTTTTTTGTTTTTTTAATACATTTGCAAAAATGGTTTTTACTTTGTCATTATGGGGTATTGTGTGTAGATTGATGGGAAAAAACTATTATATCCATTTTAGAATAAGGCTGTAATGTGAAAAAGTCAAGGGGTCTGATTACTTTCCGAATGCACTGTATAGCCAAGTTGTCATTTCTCATTGAATTTATTCCTCGTGTTAGTCATGTTTCTATATATTTCTCTCTGCATTGTTGGGAAGGGCCTGTAAGTAAGCATTTTACTGTTAGTCTACATCTGTTTACGAAGCATGTGAAAAATAGCATTTGATTTGATTTGACACACAATTACACAAACACACAATTAAATGTCGCCCACACACCCACACACGCTGGCAATCCTTAGTTACGAATCACATATGTTTTCCTCTCTTTCTCTTCATTCTACCTCCTTTTCTCTCTCTTTTGTTCTGTCTATCAGCGGGAGATGGAGTTAAGTGCAGCTTTCAGCCAAATTGTCCTGTGATTGGCTCTCACTTGGGCCTTTTCAAACCTCTGATTGCAGACAGCCATTTCAAGTCAAGGCCCAGTATAAAAAAACATTGATTTCAGTGGAGGGAGTGTGAATGCGGCGTGACCTCTTTCTTGGTCTTCTTTGTTTTTTTTCCTGTGTGTTTACATGTGCGTGTGTTCAGTACGTGCTGTGGCTTAATTTACCATGATACGCAGAGGATCACGACTTCACGATAGGAGGGCTGAATCTCTAATTCCCAATCACACACCTCCCAAGGGAAAGCCTCTACGAAAACAAGTAGTGCTCACTCACTACCCTCTCTCCCTGACCTCTAACCTCTAACCCCTGACCTCTATCCTGTGTGCACTCCATAGAAATTCAAATCAATGTATGGTTAGCAAGTTGATATACTGAATATTGGGAGGACTCGTGTACTGGAGGTATTTCTGCAGAATAGTCACTAGCTGGCACAGCCACAAAGTCATAAAATCAGATTTTAAACTATAACCCCACTGCTAACATTATGCTAACCTTAAATTGACACCAACAAGCCATTTTTATTAATGAACTGTTATGATATATAGACACTTTTGACTGCAGCTGGCCAATCTAGTGGAAATCGCTCAGCTCTGCCTCCAAAACAAGATCCATCCCAATAAACGTCAGCCTGCGTATGGCTATGGGTTGACGGCGGCAATATTGAGTATATCCATAACTTAACATTCTATTTCTATGGTGCCCTTCCTCTCTGTCCCCACAGATGCCCTGAACACACGGAACAGGCAGGTGATCTGCACCACGCTGAAGGTGCTGCAGCACCTGGTGGTGTCTGGAGACATGGTGGGAGAGGACCTGGTGCCTTACTACAGACAGATCCAACCTATCCTCAACATCTTCAAGAACATGAACAGTGAGTCACCTACATTATAGATCGTTACAGTGTTTCTGGCAGTATGTTTGAGCGGTAGTGCTGAGCGATTAGTGCTTTTTATTAGGTCGGTTCGGTTTCGGTTCGATTATTAAAAAATAATCAAGGATTTCAGTTTCATTTTATTGATTTTTTTTACATTAAATGCACTATGCATTATGTGGGTTGAATGCTGTAACAACACTGAATAAAACAATTAAAGCTGCAGTATGTACCTTTTTTGGCAACCTGACCAAATTCACATAGAAATATGAGTTATAAATCTGTCATTGAAAGCAAGTCTAAGAAGCGGTAGATCGGTTCTACAATATGTGCGCTATTTCTATGCTTTCCATTCTTACGTTTTTGCATCTTTTACTTTCGGTTTTGTAAAGCAGCTTCAAACAGCTGAAAATACAATATATTCGGTTATAGAAATATATATTTCACAGCAGTTTAGATGGTACAATGATTCTCTACACTATACTTGGTTATTCTGAACCCTCGACCCTGCAACACCTTTGTCCTACATTACCTACAGTGTACACCAGCAGTTCCAGACCTCTTTATGATGATGTTGATGTTGTGCAAAATACACTATTTTATGTTTGTGAGTGCTAGCCAATGACTGTATATGAATGGACAAAGACATCGATCACGTGACACCATTCATTCATATGTGAAGACTCAATAGGGCATTTGAAGCCAATGAAGTCGGTTAAGATGGCGTCTCATGGAGACATAACATGCTCAGTTTGAGCTACTGCAGGAAGTGACGTTGCAGGCTAGCTCAGTGCTGCCCCCTCTCATTGAGTATCAGTGAATAGTGTTAATGTTTGTAGCCTATACGGTGGAAGGACAGTGTGCGTTGAGTGACGGAGGTTGTAGCTTTGTTTGACCTGTCTCAGTCTCAGGTGTAGGGTGCTCTACTTAGTAAAAGGCAGCAGTTTGTAGGCTATTATTTTGGCGTAGTCGAGGTGAGCTTCAAGTCGACCCACAGGCCTCGCACAGCTGCTCCGAGCACCTTGCAGGAATGCTCCCACTCTTCCGTTTCCAGGATTTAAGGGCTTGATGGTAAAGAGCTCAAATCAAATCAAAGTTCATTGGTCGCGTACACAGATTTGTAGATGTTATGGCAGGTGCAGCGAAATGCTTGTGTTTCTAGCTCCAACAGTGCAGTAATACCAGGCAATAAAAATAAAAAACTACACACATAAACCAGAAAAATTAAAATAAATATCAGAACAAGCAATGTCAGAGACCGGAATATATGTATGTACTGTATGTATGTGTATATGTGTATATATATATATATATATATATATATATATATATATATATATATATATATATATATATATATATATATATATAATAAGAATAATATACACTTAGTGTACAAAAAAATTAGGAACACGAGCTCTTTCCATGACATAGACTGACCAGGTGAATCCAGGTGAAAGCTATGATCCCTTATTGATGTCACCTGTTAAATCCACTTAAATGAGTGTAGATGAAGGGGAGGAGATAGGTTAAAGAATGATTTTTAAGCTTTAAGACAATTGAGACATGGATTGTGTATGTGTGCCATTCAGAGGGTGAATGGGCAAGACAAAAGATTGAAGTGCCTTTGAACGGGGTATGGTAGTAGGTGCCAGGCGCACTGGTTCGAGTGTGTCAAGAACTGCAACGCAGCTGGGTTTTTCAGGCTTAACAGTTTCCCGTGTGTATCAAGAATAGTCCACCACCCAAAGGACATCTATCCCAACCAACTTGACACAACTGTGGGAAGCATTGGAGTCAACATGGACCAGCATCCCTGTGGAACGATTGACACATTGTAGAGTCTATACCCCGACGAATTGAAGCTGTTCTGAGGGCAAAAGGGGGGTGCAAGTCAATATTAGGAAGGTGTTCCAAATGTTTTGTATACTCAGTGTATACATACATACAGTAGCAGTCAAAAGTTTGGACACACCTATTCATTCAAGGGTTTTTCATAATTTTTACTATTTTCTACGTTGTAGAATACTAGTGAAGACATCAAAACTGAAATAACACATATGGAATCATGTAGTAACCAAAAAAAGTGTTAAACAAATCAAAAGATATGTTATATTTGAGATTCTTCAAATAGCCACCCTTTGCCTTGATGACAGCTTTGCACACTCTTGGCATTCTCTCAACCAGCTTCACCTGGAATGCTTTTCCAACAGTCTTGAAGGAGTTCCCACATATGCTGAGCACTTGTTGGCTGCTTTTCCTTCACTCTGCCATCCGACTCATCCCAAACCATCTCAATTGGGTTGAGGTCGGGGGATTGTGGAGGCCAGATCATCTTATGCAGCACTCCATCACTCTCCTTCTTGGTCAAATAGCCCTTACACAGCCTAGAGGTGTGTTGGGTCATTGTCCTGTTGAAAAACAAATGATAGTCCCACTGAGCCCAAATCAGATGGGATGGCGTGTTGCTGCAGAATGCTGTGGTAGCCATGCTTGTTAAGTGTGCCTTGAATTCTAAATAAATCACAGACAGTGTCACCAGCAAAGCACCCGCACACCATAACACCACCTCCTCCATGCTTTACGGTGGGAAATAAACATGCGGAGATCATCCATTCACCCACACCGCATCTCACAAAAACAAGGCGGTTGGAACCAAAAATCTCCAATTTGGACTCCAGACCTAAGGACAGATTTCCACCGGTCTAATGTCCATTGCTCAGGTTTCTTGGCCCAAGCAGGTCTCTTCTTATTATTGGTGTCCTTTAGTAGTGGTTTCTTTGCAGCAATTCGACCATGAAGGCCTGATTCACACAGTCCCCTCTGAACAGTTGATGTTGATGTGTCTGTGACTTGAACTCTGTGAAGCATTTATTTGGGCTACAATTTCTGAGGCTGGTAACTAATGAACTTATAACTCTGGGTCTTCCATTCCTGTGGCGGTCCTCTTGGTGGTTTTTGCGACTGCACTTGAAGAAACTTTCAAAGTTCTTGAAATGTTCCGTATTGACTGACCTTCATGTTTTAAAGTAATGATGGACTGTCATTTCTCTTTGCTTATTTGAGCTGTTCTTGCCATAATATGGACTGGGTCTTTTACCAAATAGGGCTATCTTCTGTATACCCCCCTTACCTTGTCACAACACAACTGATTGGCTCATACGCATTAAGAAGGAAAGAAATTCCAGAAATTAACTTTTAAGAAGGCACACCTGTTAATTGAAATGCATTCCATGTGACTACCTCATGAAGCTGGTTGAGAGAATGCCAAGAGTGTGCAAAGCTATTATTTACTTTTACGTCATTTAGCAGACGCTCTTATCCAGAGCGACTTAAAAATTGGTGCATTCACCTTATGATAGCCAGTGGGACAACCACTTTACAATTAATTTTTTTATATTTTTCTAATTATTTAATTTATAATTTTTAGAGTATATTTTTAATTTTCATTAGTTGTATATATATATATATATATATATATATATATATATATATATATATATATATATATATATACAGTGGGGAGAACAAGTATTTGATACACTGCCGATTTTGCAGGTTTTCCTACTTACAAAGCATGTAGAGGTCTGTAATTTTTATCATAGGTACACTTCAACTGTGAGAGACGGAATCTAAAACAAAAATCCAGAAAATCACATTGTATGATTTTTAAGTAATTCATTTGCATTTTATTGCATTACATAAGTATTTGATCACCTACCAACCAGTAAGAATTCCGGCTCTCACAGACCTGTTAGTTTTTCTTTAAGAAGCACTCCTGTTCTCCACTCATTACCTGTATTAACTGCACCTGTTTGAACTCGTTACCTGTATAAAAGACACCTGTCCACACACTCAATCAAACAGACTCCAACCTTTCCACTATGGCCAAGAACAGAGAGCTGTGTAAGGACATCAGGGATAAAATTGTAGACCTGCACAAGGCTGGGATGGGCTACAGGACAATAGGCAAGCAGCTTGGTGAGAAGGCAACAACTGTTGGCGCAATTATTAGTAAATGGAAGAAGTTCAAGATGACGGTCAATCATCCTCGGTCTGGGGCTCCATGCAAGATCTCACCTCGTGGGGCATCAATGATCATGAGGAAGGTGAGGGATCAGCCCAGAACTACACGGCAGGACCTGGTCAATGACCTGAAGAGAGCTGGGACCACAGTCTCAAAGAAAACCATTAGTAACACACTACGCCGTCATGGATTAAAATCCTGCAGCGCACGCAAGGTCCCCCTGCTCAAGCCAGCGCATGTCCAGGCCCGTCTGAAGTTTGCCAATGACCATCTGGATGATCCAGAGGAGGAATGGGAGAAGGTCATGTGGTCTGATGAGACAAAAAGAGAGCTTTTTGGTCTAAACTCCACTCGCCGTGTTTGGAGGAAGAAGAAGATGAGTACAACCCCAAGAACACCATCCCAACCGTGAAGCATGGAGGTGGAAACATCATTCTTTGGGGATGCTTTTCTGCAAAGGGGACAGGACGACTGCACCATATTGAGGGGAGGATGGATGGGGCCATGTATCGCGAGATCTTGGCCAACAACCTCCTTCCCTCAGTAAGAGCATTGAAGATGGGTCGTGGCTGGGTCTTCCAGCATGACAATGACCAGAAACACACAGCCAGGGCAACTAAGGAGTGGCTCCGTAAGAAGCATCTCAAGGTCCTGGAGTGGCCTAGCCAGTCTCCAGACCTGAACCCAATAGAACATCTTTGGAGGGAGCTGAAAGTCCGTATTGTCCAGCGACAGCCCCGAAACCTGAAGGTCTGTATGGAGGAGTGGGTCAAAATCCCTGCTGCAGTGTGTGCAAACCTGGTCAAGACCTACAGGAAACGTATGATCTTTGTAATTGCAAACAAAGGTTTCTGTACCAAATATTAAGTTCTGCTTTTCTGATGTATCAAATACTTATGTCATGCAATAAAATGCAAATTAATTACTTAAAAATCATACAATGTGATTTTCTGGATTTTTGTTTTAGATTCCGTCTCTCACAGTTGAAGTGTACCTATGATAAAAATTACAGACCTCTACATGCTTTGTAAGTAGGAAAACCTGCAAAATCGGCAGTGTATCAAATACTTGTTCTCCCCACTGTATATTGTGGTTTTTATATTGTTGTTTCTAGTTTTTTTAAGATATTATTTATTTTATATCTATTATTATTATTATTATTATTATTTATTTTTTTGTAGTAAAATAGTAAAAAGTAACCCTCTCATCAGGCTTGAATTTGACTCTCACGATATTACCTTACTTAGAATATCTGAACAGCATGGGATATTAGGTGAGAAGGACATCTCCAATAAGAATCCCTATTGTAAACTCGCTAAGGTGAATGACAAATAGGGTATTAACTTCAGATAAAATTATTATAGACTTGGTTATTATTATAAGGATATGCTTTCCCATGCATTAAATGAAACTGAAACAGTAAATGACTCCACCAATGCAACAGACATAAGGTTCAAGATCTATATTATCAAATTTTTAATGTACCACATAAAAAATAATACAAATAATAATAACCCCCAGTCATTTTTCCCCAACCCATGT